TCTCCATAACCTCATACTGATCAGAATTATTCTCATCATTATTCTCATTACAACGTAGTCTAGCTAGACTACACTTTCGATAGTGATTAGAAATAACATTGAACAATTAATTGATTAATAATTTTATAGTTAAGATCATGAGTCAATTGAAGCTAGACCACCATGGAAACCTGGAAGCACTAGACGGCCGTTTCGTCCTATTATGGGACCCCCCAGCAGTGCGCATCCACGATCCCGCTCTCGTGAGATTCGAACCCAGGACCTACCAATCTCGAGCCAGAGCCCTTAACCGATAGACCACTGAGCCGGCATCCAACGGTGTTAATGTCTAACCTCAACCAATCCACGAAATTGCGCAACCAACTTCCAATGTACTGAGGTAGATACCTGTCTCTACCTGACATGGATTAGCTCCACTGGCCACGACTTCTCACTAGAACTCCAGGAATTACCTCAAGGAGCCAGTCACTAGTGAGCATATGATCATTATCACAAGGGGTTTTTTTTGTGTGGAGATTTAATAATTTTATAGTTAAGATCATGAGTTTGGTCATGAGATTGGTAGGTCCTGGGTTCGAAACTCACGAGAGCCTGATCGTGGATGCGCACTGCTGAGGAGTCCAATAGTAGGACGAAACGGCCGTCCAGTGTTTCCAGGTTTTCCATGGTGGTCTAGCTTCAATTGACTCACGCTTTCAACTTAATTAATTCACGACTCTATTTTGCATTTGATCCGTTGAACACTACTTAAGCATGATAATACATAATATAAATGTCCAATATTTCGGAATTTCCAATGAGTCTCTAACTGGTTACTGTGAATGTTGAAAATTATCTTTCGAATTTGCTTTTCCTTACTAAACAGCAACTGATGACATCAATACAGCTGAGATTCACATTTATCTTCCAATTCATTCATCATCCTAGTGGAGAACACACAAATCTATCAATCGTGGTAACTCAAAATAACAGTCTAATCAGTAATATAAATGCTCAAATGATATATCACGTATCAATGTATTCCAAAATTATACATTTTACTCTATGAATTTGGAATTAGTTTAGATTAAATCAACTAGGTGAAAAGGATGTGGACTATAGTTCAGTCTCGCTTTCAAATACCTCAATCATTAATGTAATAAATCAAATAGATTAGACAAAAATATTTCATGTTTTTGTAAGTGTAACCAATTCTCTATTTATTCATTCTCTCTATGATTCCAATGTATTTGACCTATATGCATGTATACATCTATTGTATACGTCTGTAAATTCAATTTTGCAAGTATTACCACATAAGTATCATAAATGAGAAGTACACATGAATTTGCACAGATAAACTACCTAGATACATAAATTCACAATATGAATAATGAATTATTGAGTAGTTTTATGAACGTTAATTATTTGTTTATATATACACATATATATACGTGTGCATCAACGAGGAAGATGCGAACATCGAATGTATAATTACTCGTGATTAATTATTCTGTGAAAATATACTCACTGTAGTTGCACAATATAAGAAGGAGAACCATACTGGGACAAAACGGAAGTTCAATGAATGTAGATTAATAATTTCGGTCAAACTAAGATCTATTTACGATATGAAGTCTATGAAAATTTCATAATCCTTACAAAGCCTCACACTGAAAATAGTTTTCTGTTATAAAGCTCTCTCACTGGACCAGATGGACTACAGTCACAACTAATAACTAGGATTTCGTTGACAGAGAAATGACTTATCTACAAACTGATTTTCTACAATTGTCTATCACAATTTATCATGTTTATTTTATATTGAATTCTTCATGTCATTTTATTGCATACAAAACCTGTTCTCCAACCATTGACGTTGTCTCTGATTCCGAATCATTCGGAGGCTTGCGTCAATAATACGATCTCGTCCTCGGTCATCACATCATATCATTGAGACCATATATCAACTAGCATTCTACCCGTTGATTTGAAACGTCGAAAATTCCATTCAACAACTCATAAAATCCTAATTCAATGCAGAAATCACATGCTTATTACTCATAGAAGACGCCATAACTATTACAAGAGATTCCGTGTTCTGATAATCTCAGCAGAAAAACGTCACACGATTTTAAGTGCATTTATCATTTAACCCTGTCAGGAAGCTTTATCTTGTTGGCTTATTAAATCGTCTGGATTTGACATTTTCTAGAAGAACAAGAGACAAACTCAAAATGAGAGAATGATTTTGAACTGAAATGATTAAATAATGTAAACTAACAAGATATTCTTCACTAATGTGCTTGTATATTTGAAACTTCTAGATAAAGTACTCCACAACTGTTCGAAATGCTTATAACCAATAAAGTGAACAGATAATTGGATAAATGTTTCAGTCAATTGTAATGTCTTGGGTTGTGACAGTGAGTGAAGCAGGTATGAATTTAGTAGTTGGCATCACTTCTCTTGAAATTCCAGATACACACTAGCAAGTAACTTAGACATAGAGGTTTTCTTTAATTACCTTCAATCAACTGGTATGTATTTAAGTAATGGTATATTTTAAGTAGCGTATGGATAATTTCCACAAGCTTACCACAAGCTTTGGGATATGAGCTTTGTGTCAATATCTTAACTCGTCAAAACTTCAGGCATTGTCAATCCTCCGTGTAGCAGTACGTAATCGTTGGAAGCTTGCTACTATCTGACTTGGTCCCGTCAGATGAAATAATTTATTGCATCTGCTATTAAGATTCGTGTTAAGCAATGAACATAATGGATCATTTTAACAATCCTCAAAACATTCCTTGATTTATATCTCTATCTGTGTAATCTCTATTGCATATTCATCCGACAGATCTTGACATGTCTAAATTTGACTTACATATCAACCAAAGAAGGGTTGATGATATACAGTTTCTCTTAAAACAGGGAATGTCACGCATTCATTGAGAAGGACATTCTATATCTACATGGTTTATCGATAGAATAAACTTTCAGTCACATATAAATTCAGTTTTGTTGTAACTGAATAAAGAGAAAATAGATCATTTGAAAAATTACCAATGCAAGAGTTTACATAGAAGAGAGAAACCATTAGTATTTCATAGCTAAATTCTTTGAACAGTAAACAAAAATTTTGCTCGTTATGTTTACTTTACAGATCAATTAAACACATTCTGATTCATGTGGGTATGTGAAGAAATAGATTGTAATTGGAAGACGTTCCTCAAAATGTTGCATTTCTAATCTAAGGTATCGATTGTTGATAATGAACATCTCTACAACTATCTATAAACGAACGTAAAACAGATATGTGGAATAAATAAATTGCATGAATCTATAAGATGACAATCTTTTTAATTGAGAGGAATAATAATACTAATAATAAATTTATTTCATACCATCCATTTAGTTACAGTGAAGCATTCTCAGTATTAATTGTGTCATGTCACAGAAAATGTTTTGCTATGATTCATTTAAATTGTAATGATTAAAAACTATTAACGGTCTGTATCTTCCATTCGTATTCAAACATCAAATCTTTCGATCAATTCACCTGCTTCGGCTAGTGTCTAACTAAATTAGGTGAATATAGTTTGTCCGTAGTATACATGTAGTAGGAATCACATACGCTAATTAAAATATTAGGATTATTATCAGTACTTCACTAGTACAATTCTGGAGGTAAGGATTTCCATGGCGTCCACCTTTAATTTCAGCTCTGGTCTATCCACCAAAATTCAATGTAAGTACACTCATTTCCGATAGACAAACAGTACTAATTCTCGACTGTTTCCCTTCTCATGGTTTACTCCGTAGCAATTTGTTCAACTTGCATTCCTCTAAGAGCACTAAATCATAAAACAAACATTTCTTCATCTCATGAAATAATATATTGTGATATATGGCTTCAAAATATCAGTACGAATGTGTTGACTATCATATTTAATAAATTCAATACTTTCGTGGAATACATGTTATCACATTTGAGAGTAATTTACTCGGACATAGGTGAATAAACGTCAAATTGTTTGTAGGTTAATACATGATGAAAAATGGTTGAATAAACGGTTTTCACGGAATATTATCTTCGACATACTCATATGAATGATTGAAATTATCACATGGAAGCAGTATTACCTATCTAGTCATCATTGCATGTTGCCAACAAACGTTAGAAAAATACAAGATTAGACAGTAAACGGACAATACTATCATGTCGCAGTCAAACGTAAGCGGTTTCTTCCTTAATCACGATCTATGTCCAAGCGGAAACACATGGAATGACATTGTATTGGAAATTGCAGTTTAATAAGAAAAAATATAGAATATTATTGACGAAATTTCCAGTAGTATTGCTACTGAATATAAAAGACAAACATTATATAAGCTCACATTGCACAAAATAGATTTCTCAACTGGACTAACGAAGTAGTACAGCAAAGTGGACAACTTTACTCTAAATCTTGTACAACCTGATAACATCAATCGACCAATGTAGGTTAACTGAAGGTCACTTTGACAATCACTAATCCTACTCTTCATTTACTTATACTGTTTCCGCTGTAAATTCACTGCAGTATATAGACGAACATTAACTAAATTATCATCAAAATCAGTAGACAACTTCTATCTGTCTGTTTCAACTGATGAATTTCTCACAGTTATCTATAAACCAAGCACGAAGACGAGTAATTTGTGAGCCATTCATCCTCCTCACGTCCACTCAATAATAACTGGTAAATCGGATGTTTCATTATTCTACAAATTCCATGAAAATACATAACAATGAAGCAAATATCCATTAAGTTGCATCCAAAACCAGTGAGTGAATCCCGATCATGTGGCTAACTATATTTTACCAGTGCCTCAAATCTCAGGTGAATTACTCCATACGAATGGAACCACTTAAACGACATATTGATGATTATAGGAGATGTGAATTGTTGAACGACAGATGCACCAGTGCATCAATTGAAGTTGAACTCCGGATAAAACAAAAGCAACTCAAACTGTGCACAGTATACACATTTTATTAAATTACACATTAAAAACATGTAGAAAGAAACGTTTTAGTTACAAATATAATTATTCGATTATGAATTATGTTCAATGGTTGATTGTCCATCCATTTTTGTTGGCACAAACCGGCTGATTACTTGACTGACAGGTAGGTGTTTGTTCATGAGCAATACCTTGCAATGCGTTTATTCAATCGTTGAAGAACTGAAATTAAGAAAAGTTGAAAATCATACTAAAAATTCTCACGCTCCAGAATACAATGTCCATGATATAGGTTTCCAACGAACATAAAATCATCGAAATCTGACCACTAGACAAAGGATTCTGTAGTGCATCATATGTAAATTTCCAACCCGTTGATTCATTAATACTTATGAGATTGATTACCACCCATTTCTTGAAAATATAAATCATTTCCAGTTGCACAGAAATGTTTTCTACTGTGTGTAACTATCAGCATGTTGCCTAATAGATCTGTTTATTAATTTATTTTATTTACTAATTTATTTATCTATTTATCTATCCGTCTTTTTAATCTATTCGATTTATTTATCTATCTATCTATTTATCTGTCTATTGACCTCTGTATCTCTCCGTTCGTAATCAGTTTATTGTAGAGCTCATTGTATATATCATTGAAATCTGAATTTTGGTTGTCGGACTTACGGATACTCAAAACCTCACTCGTCTTCTGACCCAAATCATCTTCTTTGATATAATCCTCCATTAGTCCATTGCCTTTGGTTGCGCATGTTTTCAGGTTCCCAAAAGTTTTTATAGCCTCTAGAAACTGGACATTTGTGTTATTAATAGGAGTATTTTATTTCAAGAACCTACCAAATTATTCATCGCTGGTTTGGGGTTACATCTAGACGATGAAAGGAGGTAAAGAAAACAAAGAAATGTTATAGAGTAGTTTACATTTCATTACAGTATAAATAAAGTGTGTTACATATAGTGGTTATTAATTTATGTTTCATACACACCGTTTTATTTCTGTTCTGAGAAAGTCACTACAGTTTCGATCCAGAGGCAGATAATTGAACAGCAAATATGTTGTTCTGTTCAAAGTGAATATCCGAGGAATTCAGAAATAAATTTCTCAGAAGGGGTTTTGTTGATATTATAGTAATTTTAATAGTTGAGATCATGAGTCAATTGAAGCTAGACCACCATGGTAAACCTGGAAGTGCTAGACGACCGTCTCGTCCTATTGTGGGACTCCTCCCACGATAGGCCGTCCAGGTTTTCCATGGTGGTCTGGCTTCAATTTACTCATGATCTCAACTATTGTAATAAATTTCTGTCATTTTTAACTCAATTCGATTAATTATATGACAAGAACTAATGCAATATCATTTGAAATGCTGATAAATTTTTACTCTCAACTGAAAAGTACATGCATTTGCAAAAACCGTGAAAAGTTGTTTTGATAAGAAATGAAAACCGATTTATTCATAGTCCATATATATTCACTGATACATGTATTCACACTAGATATCCATGATTATCAGTGATTATATGTATATTTATGCATATAATATAGCTTCATATCAACATGAAAATGTCAAGATTTATTGTCTTACTCGGTTTGAACAGCGAAAAAGCAGACAGCCAGTGAGACAATGAAGATTGTTTTCATAATGATATGGAGACTTTCAACCATACAAATGGATTACTCTCCTCCTTTTTATACATTACCGATTCACATTGTTTATGTTTGAACATGTTTGTTTATGCAAATGGGTCATTGAGCGTTTGCGCTCATCAATAAGGTCATTGGCATTAATAATACAATTATTAGATGTGTGTGTTTACTCGTTTGATCATTGAATAATTCATACACCGAGTTGTCTAATCTATACTCACATGTGATTGGATAGACCCCATCGTTTCGATCTATTTCATTTTCCACATTAATGAGTGTCTGACTTTTCTGCTAAATACATTTCGATAGATTGTTCCAAAATTAGCCAATTCAATGTGTGTTTAGCCTCATAGACATCAAATTTCGAGTTTTCATGCGAGTATGCGAAGTTTTTGTGCATGAATGACATACAATTGTCTGAGAATTTGAATGTGGAGTAGACTACATATAGTTAAATGGCGCTGAGGTCACTAAGCAGTAGGTAATTATAGATAGATGGTATTTTTATGTGTTTACATTTATGCATCCACTTGAATGTTTGGTTATGAAATGGAAACGAATTATGTGTCACAGCTCCCACCAAATTTTATAGGTCCTTCAGTGAGAAAAGAGTTTCTGTTTGGGAATATGAAAGCTTTTAATTTATATGTCGTTAAAGATTAATTTGGGAATTTTCTAAGCGGTTAAAACAAATTCAGGTTAGATAAATGAAGATGTTATTTTAGAAGACGGAAAGAAAAGTAATCTGGTTTATTTAATCGCACAACTGTGAATGGTACCTAAATCTAATAACTTGAAAAAAAAATATAGTGAACGGTTTGAGATCTCATTTCTTGCGTTTACATTCACTCTTGAGAAAAATCGAGTGAAAACTTATTTGATTTCAACAAATGTCTTTACATATATTAAAACCAAAAGTAGATTTATTTGATAGATTTAGTTTCGGTCACGTGATTTGAAGTAAATTCGTATCCTCACACATATTGTAATGAACAGAACACAACTGGAGACGATCGAATGTATTTAAGCACAAATTACAGATTATCTCACTAAATTCTGATAACCATGCAATGAATAGTTAATTTGCAAAATAACAACCAATTGTCTCAATCTTCACTGTTCCTTCTGTAAATATCAATCAATCTTCTCTAATTTCATTGTTTATGCATTTTCCCACCAATTGCGCTTCATTTCAGTTCTTTCTTTATCGGTCTTCTGCCAAAATGCATAAACAATGAAATTAAAGAAGATGGATTGATATTTACAGAAGGAACATTGAACATTGAGACCATTGATGGTTATTTTGTAAATTAACTATTCATTGCATGGTTATCAGAATTTAGTGACATAGTCTGTAATTTGTGTCTAAATACATTCGATTGTCTCCACCTGTGTTCTGTTCATTACAATCTTATCTAAACGTGGAACTTATTCACACATGTTGAAATTTGTAGCTCAATTGAGATAGAATGTGCTGATGATTAGATTTTATATTCTGGTCAATAAATAATTTACTTGATCATATTCCATAAATATAATTAATGTTTATTAAAAAAAGATTGACTGGACATAAGGAAATATTTGGAAGCCTTAATATTTTTATTGTTTTCAATGTTCCTAAAGAATAATAGTCCTTGTACCAATCAATATCAAAAGCTGATATAAAGTGCAATTGATATAAGGTGTCAAAAGAGAAATTGTACAGATTGTTGCCACAACAAATATTGAGAAAAAATTCCAAAGGAGATAATTTGATTAACCCGTTGAATACGTATGCAAATAATCATAAGTCAAGCAAGATAGATACATAGATTAGAAAAGATAGATGATGAGAAAGATAGATAAATGAATTAGTAAATAAAATAAATTAATAAACAGATCTATTAGGCAACATGCTGATAGTTACACACAGTAGAAAACATTTCTGTGCAACTGGAAATGATTTATATTTTCAAGAAATGGGTGGTAATCAATCTCATAAGTATTAATGAATCAACGGGTTGGAAATTTACATATGATGCACTACAGAATCCTTTGTCTAGTGGTCAGATTTCGATGATTTTATGTTCGTTGGAAACCTATATCATGGACATTGTATTCTGGAGCGTGAGAATTTTTAGTATGATTTTCAACTTTTCTTAATTTCAGTTCTTCAACGATTGAATAAACGCATTGCAAGGTATTGCTCATGAACAAACACCTACCTGTCAGTCAAGTAATCAGCCGGTTTGTGCCAACAAAAATGGATGGACAATCAACCATTGAACATAATTCATAATCGAATAATTATATTTGTAACTAAAACGTTTCTTTCTACATGTTTTTAATGTGTAATTTAATAAAATGTGTATACTGTGCACAGTTTGAGTTGCTTTTGTTTTATCCGGAGTTCAACTTCAATTGATGCACTGGTGCATCTGTCGTTCAACAATTCACATCTCCTATAATCATCAATATGTCGTTTAAGTGGTTCCATTCGTATGGAGTAATTCACCTGAGATTTGAGGCACTGGTAAAATATAGTTAGCCACATGATCGGGATTCACTCACTGGTTTTGGATGCAACTTAATGGATATTTGCTTCATTGTTATGTATTTTCATGGAATTTGTAGAATAATGAAACATCCGATTTACCAGTTATTATTGAGTGGACGTGAGGAGGATGAATGGCTCACAAATTACTCGTCTTCGTGCTTGGTTTATAGATAACTGTGAGAAATTCATCAGTTGAAACAGACAGATAGAAGTTGTCTACTGATTTTGATGATAATTTAGTTAATGTTCGTCTATATACTGCAGTGAATTTACAGCGGAAACAGTATAAGTAAATGAAGAGTAGGATTAGTGATTGTCAAAGTGACCTTCAGTTAACCTACATTGGTCGATTGATGTTATCAGGTTGTACAAGATTTAGAGTAAAGTTGTCCACTTTGCTGTACTACTTCGTTAGTCCAGTTGAGAAATCTATTTTGTGCAATGTGAGCTTATATAATGTTTGTCTTTTATATTCAGTAGCAATACTACTGGAAATTTCGTCAATAATATTCTATATTTTTTCTTATTAAACTGCAATTTCCAATACAATGTCATTCCATGTGTTTCCGCTTGGACATAGATCGTGATTAAGGAAGAAACCGCTTACGTTTGACTGCGACATGATAGTATTGTCCGTTTACTGTCTAATCTTGTATTTTTCTAACGTTTGTTGGCAACATGCAATGATGACTAGATAGGTAATACTGCTTCCATGTGATAATTTCAATCATTCATATGAGTATGTCGAAGATAATATTCCGTGAAAACCGTTTATTCAACCATTTTTCATCATGTATTAACCTACAAACAATTTGACGTTTATTCACCTATGTCCGAGTAAATTACTCTCAAATGTGATAACATGTATTCCACGAAAGTATTGAATTTATTAAATATGATAGTCAACACATTCGTACTGATATTTTGAAGCCATATATCACAATATATTATTTCATGAGATGAAGAAATGTTTGTTTTATGATTTAGTGCTCTTAGAGGAATGCAAGTTGAACAAATTGCTACGGAGTAAACCATGAGAAGGGAAACAGTCGAGAATTAGTACTGTTTGTCTATCGGAAATGAGTGTACTTACATTGAATTTTGGTGGATAGACCAGAGCTGAAATTAAAGGTGGACGCCATGGAAATCCTTACCTCCAGAATTGTACTAGTGAAGTACTGATAATAATCCTAATATTTTAATTAGCGTATGTGATTCCTACTACATGTATACTACGGACAAACTATATTCACCTAATTTAGTTAGACACTAGCCGAAGCAGGTGAATTGATCGAAAGATTTGATGTTTGAATACGAATGGAAGATACAGACCGTTAATAGTTTTTAATCATTACAATTTAAATGAATCATAGCAAAACATTTTCTGTGACATGACACAATTAATACTGAGAATGCTTCACTGTAACTAAATGGATGGTATGAAATAAATTTATTATTAGTATTATTATTCCTCTCAATTAAAAAGATTGTCATCTTATAGATTCATGCAATTTATTTATTCCACATATCTGTTTTACGTTCGTTTATAGATAGTTGTAGAGATGTTCATTATCAACAATCGATACCTTAGATTAGAAATGCAACATTTTGAGGAACGTCTTCCAATTACAATCTATTTCTTCACATACCCACATGAATCAGAATGTGTTTAATTGATCTGTAAAGTAAACATAACGAGCAAAATTTTTGTTTACTGTTCAAAGAATTTAGCTATGAAATACTAATGGTTTCTTTCTTCTATGTATACTCTTGCATTGGTAATTTTTCAAATGATCTATTTTCTCTTTATTCAGTTACAACAAAACTGAATTTATATGTGACTGAAAGTTTATTCTATCGATAAACCATGTAGATATAGAATGTCCTTCTCAATGAATGCGTGACATTCCCTGTTTTAAGAGAAACTGTATATCATCAACCCTTCTTTGGTTGATATGTAAGTCAAATTTAGACATGTCAAGATCTGTCGGATGAATATGCAATAGAGATTACACAGATAGAGATATAAATCAAGGAATGTTTTGAGGATTGTTAAAATGATCCATTATGTTCATTGCTTAACACGAATCTTAATAGCAGATGCAATAAATTATTTCATCTGACGGGACCAAGTCAGATAGTAGCAAGCTTCCAACGATTACGTACTGCTACACGGAGGATTGACAATGCCTGAAGTTTTGACGAGTTAAGATATTGACACAAAGCTCATATCCCAAAGCTTGTGGTAAGCTTGTGGAAATTATCCATACGCTACTTAAAATATACCATTACTTAAATACATACCAGTTGATTGAAGGTAATTAAAGAAAACCTCTATGTCTAAGTTACTTGCTAGTGTGTATCTGGAATTTCAAGAGAAGTGATGCCAACTACTAAATTCATACCTGCTTCACTCACTGTCACAACCCAAGACATTACAATTGACTGAAACATTTATCCAATTATCTGTTCACTTTATTGGTTATAAGCATTTCGAACAGTTGTGGAGTACTTTATCTAGAAGTTTCAAATATACAAGCACATTAGTGAAGAATATCTTGTTAGTTTACATTATTTAATCATTTCAGTTCAAAATCATTCTCTCATTTTGAGTTTGTCTCTTGTTCTTCTAGAAAATGTCAAATCCAGACGATTTAATAAGCCAACAAGATAAAGCTTCCTGACAGGGTTAAATGATAAATGCACTTAAAATCGTGTGACGTTTTTCTGCTGAGATTATCAGAACACGGAATCTCTTGTAATAGTTATGGCGTCTTCTATGAGTAATAAGCATGTGATTTCTGCATTGAATTAGGATTTTATGAGTTGTTGAATGGAATTTTCGACGTTTCAAATCAACGGGTAGAATGCTAGTTGATATATGGTCTCAATGATATGATGTGATGACCGAGGACGAGATCGTATTATTGACGCAAGCCTCCGAATGATTCGGAATCAGAGACAACGTCAATGGTTGGAGAACAGGTTTTGTATGCAATAAAATGACATGAAGAATTCAATATAAAATAAACATGATAAATTGTGATAGACAATTGTAGAAAATCAGTTTGTAGATAAGTCATTTCTCTGTCAACGAAATCCTAGTTATTAGTTGTGACTGTAGTCCATCTGGTCCAGTGAGAGAGCTTTATAACAGAAAACTATTTTCAGTGTGAGGCTTTGTAAGGATTATGAAATTTTCATAGACTTCATATCGTAAATAGATCTTAGTTTGACCGAAATTATTAATCTACATTCATTGAACTTCCGTTTTGTCCCAGTATGGTTCTCCTTCTTATATTGTGCAACTACAGTGAGTATATTTTCACAGAATAATTAATCACGAGTAATTATACATTCGATGTTCGCATCTTCCTCGTTGATGCACACGTATATATATGTGTATATATAAACAAATAATTAACGTTCATAAAACTACTCAATAATTCATTATTCATATTGTGAATTTATGTATCTAGGTAGTTTATCTGTGCAAATTCATGTGTACTTCTCATTTATGATACTTATGTGGTAATACTTGCAAAATTGAATTTACAGACGTATACGATAGATGTATACATGCATATAGGTCAAATACATTGGAATCATAGAGAGAATGAATAAATAGAGAATTGGTTACACTTACAAAAACATGAAATATTTTTGTCTAATCTATTTGATTTATTACATTAATGATTGAGGTATTTGAAAGCGAGACTGAACTATAGTCCACATCCTTTTCACCTAGTTGATTTAATCTAAACTAATTTCAAATTCATAGAGTAAAATGTATAATTTTGGAATACATTGATACGTGATATATCATTTGAACATTTATATTACTGATTAGACTGTTATTTTGAGTTACCACGATTGATAGATTTGTGTGTTCTCCACTAGGATGATGAATGAATTGGAAGATAAATGTGAATCTCAGCTGTATTGATGTCATCAGTTGCTGTTTAGTAAGGAAAAGCAAATTCGAAAGATAATTTTCAACATTCACAGTAACCAGTTAGAGACTCATTGGAAATTCCGAAATATTGGACATTTATATTATGTATTATCATGCTTAAGTAGTGTTCAACGGATCAAATGCAAAATAAAGTCGTGAATTAATTAAGTAATCACCAGATTGTGGGTTTTTATACAATCAGATCATTTCCTTCTCTTTAACCAGTTATCAACCATATGAAATCAATTACAATTATCATCATTTTGGATAAAGTTGGTTTTATAGGATAAAACTGTTCAACTACGTTTAATGTAAATGATTTACTAGATAGTAGTATAGGATCAGTCATTGATATTTTCGTGGATACCTACACTTGTCGGTATATTACAAAGAGTCAAACTATTAATCAATTGATTGTTCAATGTTATTTCTAATCACTATCGAAAGTGTAGTCTAGCTAGACTACGTTGTAATGAGAATATTGATGAGAATAATTCTGATCAGTATGAGGTTGTGGAGATTGTTGGGTTTTACGAGTGAGATCACGAATCGATCAAATCCAAGTGAAAGTTCTGACGACTTAATAGAGAACACTGTTTAGAGGCGGTTGATTGCATGTTGTGTCGTCAGTGAGATGGTGACACACTACCTGTGAAAAGCTTTATAAGAGAAGTCCATCACTGTGCTTTTACACTAGTCAACTAAAATCAAGCTCAAGAAGTGAATATAAAATTTCAATTCCACTAGTTTCATGTGTATTTTACTATTCCGTTTATTCAGCGAAAATGTTTAAACAGAAAGCATAGTGTGGTTGTTTGGTCATCGCATCACCTTGCATTATTGTTTTCAGTTCGGTGATAAACAGATAGAAAATTCAAGATTCTCTATTTATTCAACTATGGTTGATACTGCACATCATCCTGGGTTGTTAATGGCGTATAATCTTGTCTGTCATATTACTTATAAATAACACTATGCTCTAAGGGTTCGAAATGTACATTTAGTGGAACTTACAACAGATTACTTGCACAAACGTAATCTACCCGTTCATAAGATATTCATATGACAATTCTCGTTATCATCTGCATCTTCGCGTACAGGCAAACTTGTTGTAACTTATATTCACTTCGTAAAATTACTCCTTATTAGTCATTTGTCAGTTTCTCTCTCTTCCTATTCTTACTCGACCATTGCCATCACGTTGCTAAATATCTCAAGAATAATAGTAAGTTCAGCAAGAACACTCGTAATTCTGTGCAGTAATTTATTCGCTTTCGTGATTGTCTGAAATCAGCTGTTTCTAGTTCTACAAAATACATTCTAGTGCTGCATGACAGGTATGAGTTATTTTGGTACACTTGAATTGATACTAGTCGAAGATGGACCTAATGGTTTGTAAATACGTCATGAATTTTAGAGATAATAATGAACTGAATCAGTTTGTTGTATAAATTGACTGGGCATTGAAAGATGAAGTGTGTAATCATTGGAGATGAAACACTGGTTTTCTTGTGAATTTGAAATCCAATAGCTTTATAATATACTGAGGAGTATCAATTTTAAATCTTGACTGAAAGTGATTGAGAAGTGGTATTGATGTGAATTTTTCTGGTTTTGATGGCTTTCTGTTTTCTAACTACTGTAGTACACACAGCTATATTGAATTTAGAGCATAATTTGCAATCTTATATTGATCTTTCAACAGCCCACTATACAATAATGTTCCTCATTATGAATTCTTTTTTTTTACCGAAAATACGCAGTTGAAAAATGAATATATCCTACATCTTATTGACCGTTTCTTTGTTGTCGGTTTTACTTATCCAAAAATTTGAATTTTATTTTATATTGTAATTAGGGATTTCGGAACGCAATGACTGATTGCTTGGAGGCGAGGACATCATCTATAAAAATTTTTCATAATGTGAAATCTAGATCAGAATGTGTACTAAGAAATTGACATTTTTGGTTAGTCTCAGGGAAATAATAATGGACTATTTTCATCTTATATGATGGGATAAAAATGTATATATGACATGTTTTCTGGATCTCCGTAGGATCCCATCTATAGTTACATAAATTTATTTTAATCTGTTTTTAGTAAATGGTCTACAAATGAATATTTATTTTTTGTCTGTACTTAACTGATCAATTTAAAAGGAAACTCGATAGTTTTAAACTTATTGACTCAGACTGGTGAAGTAATTAGCCTTAGTTACCTAGAAATTAATCTTTATGATTAATTACAATAAACCTCAGAAGTACAAGTTGATAACTGATGTGTAGATAAACTAAGTTGTGTTTAATCCTTTAGTAATAAGTTTTTTTAATAAATTTAATGCCGTCTACTTGCTTACAATATTGTTATTCTTGATGCCTCAATTGGGAAAAAGAAACATAATATCTCTTATAGAAGAAAGTTGAAAATACATATGAATTCTCTAATATTAATATTCAAACAGTCACCATCTAATGTATATTGGTAAACAATAAAAATCTAACAGTCCCATTATATAAATGATAATTAGACTTTTAATTATCGTAAAGCAGAGAGAAAAAACTTTTTTTTCTTTTACAAAGGGTTTTTTTTTAAAAATTCAATCAGAAAAAAATATTTTACAAAATAATGTATATACATAGTTAAATATTATTGATTTTTTATAATTCACTATGTTTTCTTTGTAAATTGTTGTGCTCATTATTATTATTAATATCCTCACCATCATCATCGTTGTCATCTTTAATCAAGTTTTGAATAGCTACAATTAAGAAAAATAAAGTTAATAATGATCATGATTATTAGAAGGGGCTTTCGTGGAGATTTTAATAATTTTACATAGTTGAAATCATAATTCAATTGAAGCTACATCACTATGGAAAACCTGGAAGCACTGGATGGCTGTTTCATCTTATTATGGAACTCCTGAGCAGTGCGCATCCACGATCCCGCCTTGCGTAATTCGTGGATTGGTTGAAGTTAGACATTAACACCGTTTGATACAGGCTCAGTGGTCTAGTGGTTAAGCGCTCTTGAGCAAGAACGATAGGTCCTGGGTTCGATTCTCGCGAGGCGGGATCGTCGATGCGCAATGATCATTATTATCTATTTTTTTGAAAAAAACACATAAAAAACTACTTACTTGAATCAATAAAATTCAATGCCAATTGTCCAAATTTCATTAAATTTTTTTTAATTATTTTAATTTCATTTTTTCCAACATTTTTTTCAATCCATCCATGTAACAGATTAGCATAATCTAAACCAGAATTAATTAATTCTTCAGTCTAAAATGTTTGTTTTAATTGTTAATGAATTACTCAATTAATTAAGGTATAACCTACGATGGTAGATAAATCGGAATCGTCTTCTTCATTATCACAATTTATTAGGCTTATAATTAAACTTAAATATAAGATAAGTAATAAACGCATATTTGTAAAGTGTAAACTAACTAATTGACTGATCAATATAATTATTTATATTCGAATGGTATGTTCTAGTTCTATGATTAAAATAGGATTGGTGCATAATATTTTATTCATGGTTAGTGATTAATTTTTTTTTAGCCAATAAGAATCGTTTATTTGTATCTGGTTAAAATTTTTAAAAAAATATGACAAATTCATTTTGTTTTTATAAACAACAGTAAACAAATAACTGTCTCGATAGTGTAATAAGATGAAGAAGATTATCAGAACTATGAGATGTATTGAAATTTACTTAATATTGTTTGGTTGGATCTTCCCATTGATGTTTTTAGGACTGCAACTGATCAGTCTCTAATTGGCATATATGCATACTGTGCGTATTACCTTAATTCACAAGCATGATAAGCAAAGATGGATAGTGGCTAAAAGTGGAATCCAGGACGCGCGTTCCGTCCTATTTGGAACTCGTCAGCTGGATGTACCTGCATCTGAGAGTTGATGTTCACTCTGGTTTCCAACCAAGTATCTTTCGCTTCAATCGCCATCGCGTTGTCCACTCAGCTACTGAGTCCTGATAGCCACATGCTTGTGCAGTGGGGTGAAGTTTAAATTCACTTAGTATTGTTTGTTTGATTCTCCTATTTAAAAAAGGAAATTTTAACATATTACAGATAGTCTAAAACAGTTTTAATGTAATAATATCTATATCCATATGATTCTCCATAATAATTAGAGGAAAGTGAAAATATTTCCACATCATGTTGTAGAGTTCATCTTACAAGAATGAAATATTATCTGAAATATTTAGAGTATTGATAAAAGTCTTTAAAATAACCATAGTTAGTTTTTGATGTAGTTTTCTGATGATGTCGTTCAGAAGGACGATGAAAGCTTCACAACCCAACCATCCAGCTCAGAGAACAAAACTCCATCAAAATCATCCACCTGAGCTACAAATCCCCATAGTTAGTGTATTTACTAATTAGAAGAGAGAACATTAATTTGCTTGCTGATCATCTAATTGGACGAATATTATAATAATTTAATCTATAAGAACTTAGTTACTGAGATGCGCTTAGTTATTCGTTTTTCTTTAAGGTGAATAGCTGTTCACCTTTTTTACATGATATTGTTCAAATTCTTTAGAATGATAAAATTATCTATCCTGAAACTGTTGTATTGCATGGAGATCTAGATTGATAAGTAATAAAATATTCCATATTGCCCAATATGGAAAGTAAGAAAACTAGTAATTTTCCAAAAGAAAATTGGAATCAGTAGACCTACTAAACCAGGTAAAACTAATATGGAGAATACATTTTAGTGTTCGCCTGATCACACTATACAAAATTCCTATCGAACAAATTTTTTCAGTGAAAGTCATGCCAACTACTTAGAACTGCTAAGATTTTGTGGTGTGCTATTGATGTCGACAGATATAAATAGTATGTATTATCAATCAAAAGTGAAATGCATAAAGGTAAAAGTCTAAGAAGATCAAAGAAAAGAGAACGACAACAAATAATGATTGGTGTGGAAGCGAAAGAACAATGAAGTCTGAGATGAGTGACTGATGTTTGCAAAGGGAACAGTCAAGTTTGAGACAATTGATGGATATTTTAAAATGAAGTATATACTGTACGGTACTCAGATTTCAATAACATGTTCTGTAATTTTGTGTTCAAATGCAATAAGTTGTCCCCACTTGTGTTCTCATCCACTAAAGTATAAAGTAAGATACACTTTAGAATATCAATGTATCAAAATTTATTCCCAAAGTATCGTTTGTTCGAACTCAAGCTTATTCATGTAATTTATTCACTCGAAATTTTAGTGAAGATTTTATGATTAATCGTTCAAAAAATATTTTTAATGTTAAGGAATGCATAGAATAACTATGAAGCATCAGATAACAGCCTAGCTAATGATGGGGGAAACTGAAATGTACAACCAGAAGAACTCTTTTAGTTAAGGAGGTTATGACCACTCTTTATGAAGAAAGTAGAAGAAGGTTACAGCAGGATCGCTACTGGCTTCTATTCTGGGCCATATCCGGTAACGTCTCTAGCCACTGTGTTGCACCATCTCTCGGACCTCAACCAAGGAGTCAAGAAGGACCAACAGAAGCCAGCCCTTTGAAGCTTTCTTTCATACCGCGACACCATGTCATACACTGACCTCCTCTCCGCTTTCTCCAACCAGTCCCAGGGTCGGCAAATAATGCACGACGTGGAAGTCTCTGGGACGACATTCGTAAAACATGTCCAAGCCACCGAAGTCGGTGTTTCAAGATGGTGACACCAATTGAATTATCATCTCTGCACCTGAACACACGATGCCAAATCTCTGAATTACTAACATGGTGTTGCCACTAGATGTCAGCAATCCTTCGGAGACAACGATGATCGAACACAGAGAGTCATCTAACATCCTCAAATCGGAGAGGCCAGGTTTCACAAGTATAGAGCAAAACTGCTCTCACCGACGCGTTAAACAGTCTTAAATAGTCATTATTACAATTAACTTATTATACATATGTATATATTCAAATAGTAACAAAATAAAATTTACATCAATTTAGACAACATCGAATGTTATTAGGTCAAAAGGAAATTAATTATTCCATGATAAGATGTTATTTTTTTATTGTATTAATCCATTATTTACATTCTTTACCTAATTATTGATAATAATAAATAATATGTATACTATAAAGATTAATAATAAATATGATACATATTTCATTTAAGATGTAAACAATCTTAATTACATTTTACCAAATGACCGTAATAATAATATTATTAATAGTAATAATAGTAATACTAATACTACTACTAGTAATACTACTACAATCTTACATTTCATATAATAATACCAATACTACTACTAGTAATACTACTACAATCTTACATGTCATATACTAATACCAATACTACTACTAGTAATACTACTACAATCTTACATTTAATATAATAATACCAATACTAATACCATTATTACTACTACTAATACTACTACCAATAATAGTACTACTAGTGATAATAATTCCTGGAATATTTTTTCACTAATGACATAGAATGTATTGTTTACATAGAATGTTTCCAATTTATGAAAAATTTATTCATGTCACGTAGTTTATAAATATTCAAATAGTTTGTCTAATTTTATAAAATTAATTATTGTAACATTGATGTTTATTTTAATCTTTTATTGTTTAAATATATTTAGATTGTAAGAGTTGAAACTATTATATTAATTATATTCGAATTGTAATATTGTAATAAGAATTATGAAATTTAGATACTAATTTAAAATGATCAAAATGAGCATTGAATTGTTTAGTTCCAAGTATTAGATTTCGTGGATTGGTTGAAGTTAAACATTAACATCGTTGGATGCCGACTCAGTGGTCTGGTGGTTAAGCGCTTCGGCTCGAGACTGGTAGGTCCTGGGTTCGAATCTCGCGGGTGCGTGATCGTGGATGCGCACTATTGAGGAGTCCCATAATAGGATGAAACTGCCGTCCAGTGCTTCCAGGTTTTTCATGGTGATCTAGCTTCAATTGACTCATGATTTCAACTATGACAATTTAAAATGATCAAAATGAGCATTGAATTGTTTAGGTCCAAGTATTAGATTGTCAGTAGTTTTGATTAAAATATTTTCTTTACTAAGCAAAGATAGATGGTGGCTAGAAATGGAATCTAAAACTCACGTTTCGTCCTATTTGGTACTTGTCATCTGGATGTATCTGCATCTCAGAGTTGATGTTCACTCTGAAACTTGAACCCAGTACCGTTCGCTTCAAACGTTATCGCGTTATCCACTTAGCTACTGAGTTCTGATAACCCCCTGCTTATGAAATGGAGTGAACATCAACTCTAGGATGCAGCTAAATCCAGATGAAAATTCCCAAATAGAACGAAACGCACGTCATGGATTCCACTGCTAGCCACCATCCATATTCGCTTATAAAGCTTGAAACTTAAGGTAATATTGAGGCAGTCCGCATACAATGTACAAATCCCAACAAGAGACTGATCAATTGCAGTCCTAAACAACAATGGGAAGATATAAGCAAACAATTCCAATTGAATTTATTTTCTTTCCTTCACCTAATATTGTACTATATGTGACTAATAAGATGCTATTGAAAGATGTATCCTCAACAACTATAGTTTTTTGCATACTTCTATCTGAAAGGTGTAACTTATTTCGTATGATATTCATTAGGAAAGTCATGTTGTACAAAATATCTAGTCTTCACAAGTTGTTATTTTGAAATTAATCAGTTTAATAGTGTATTTGAACAGTCGTCTGCATCAACAATTTAGGCTACTTAATGAATTGTTTCTACTTCAATAATCCCATCAAACACTAGTGAACAGTAAATTTGTTCTATAATTTATTGAAATCGTTTAAAAGTAGCCTTTCAAATACTTGTAAGGGTTTATATTTGCCCATGAAGTATTGTAACTGACCAGTTACTCTTAGGATATGTATATGTTGAGCAGATTGCCTGTATATCATTTTCTACTCGCAAAGTTTTAGAATGAAACATGTATCCTAGATTCCACTTATTGCTGTTATTCAACATTAAAATATTTAAAATACTTTTAAAATCTTTATATAGAAATGTATATTATTCACCAGATTGTTATGTACAAAATATAATCAAGTTTCTGATAGATTATATTCGTGAACTATGACCGTACATTTCTTTGGATTAGTTGTATGCAAGTTTACAAGCAAGAAACAACGCTTAAGAATTAAAATAAAATGCAAAAACAATCGTGGGTTGTTTATTTATATTTTCTAGGAAATCATAATTTAATTAAGTGTCGTTTATTTTTGAACTCAATTAAAATCTTGCGAGTGCGGAATCGTGGATGCGCACTACTGAGGAGTCCCATAATAGGACGAAACAGCCGTCCAGTGCTTCCAGGTTTTCCATGGTGATCTAGCTTCAATTGACTCATGATTTCGACTTTGAAAAACACTATCCATATCTTAATTCATTAAAACAAAATAATCAGAACTATACTTGTGACAAAACACTAACTGTAATACAACAGCTTTATTTTATGATGATTCGTTTTATTGAGTGTCTTTATTACTATTTACTATTCGACTTTAAGTGTTACTTTAATTCATTAAGTTCAGTAAAGAAAACGGATAGAACAGAAGTCAGCATTGAAATCATTATCTATTATCTTAGATATAAAATCCAAACGATTATTCTTTAAAATAATGATCTATCTTGATTGTCTTTCGTAGTAGATAAGTATTAAGACAGATTTGATTCATTTTCTACATAGTATGTTCACGATCACAATTACACAGATCAACAAATAAGTGAACCATAGTTTCGATCTTTCTATATAGTGATCATAGACATAAAGCTTTTTTGAAATAAAAAAACAAGTCCAAGTCATCCCATAAATGTATATGAAACTTATCTAATTCCAAAACACAGATTCATTTTATTTAGTAGCTTCTGTAAGTAATAGTCATATGGTGTGCGCTACTGATGTCGACAGATATAAGTAATATGTATTATCAATCAAAAGTGAAATACCTACAGACAGAAGGTTAAAAAGATCGAAGAAAAAAGAACGAAAACAAAGAATGATTAGTGTAGAAACGAAAGAACAATGAAGTTTGAAACAATTGATTGACATTTTGCAAATGAAGTATTTACTGTTTGTTTCTTAGATTTCAATGACATGTTCTGTAATTTTGTATTCAAATACACTCGATTGTTCCCCATTGTGTACCCGTTCACCTCAAAAGTAATAAATTTCCCTTGTTGGATTTTAAAAAAAAATCGTTTTCCTCAATTGGAGATGTAAAAGTTATACTATTTGAGTTGAACTTCACTTTGTTATTAGATCTTATTTACGATAAAAACACATTCCCTGATATCAACTTATTCAAACCCTCTTTTTTTAAATAGAGTCATATATAAAGGAAAAGAATGTAACTTAATTTTTTATTAATGATCATAATTAAAATAATTTTATCATTTTTATAAACTAAAAAAAAAGAAAAAATCAAATTTTTCGCAAAGTTCAAATTAAATCATCATTTATTAAATAATACAGAAAATAAGAAAAAAATATTGTAAATTAGCTAGCTATCTGCCAAATGTTCCATATTCATTGAGAATCCTGTCCATTTATTTGTTCACCAATACTACTTATAACTACAAAATATAAAAAGAAAGAAATATATTACTCATTTAGTACTAGTATTATTATTGGATTCTCTGACGTTTCGTGACTCAGTGTAAGCCACTTCGTCAGAGAACAAATAATCAAATTTGATTATTTATTTTCTGACGAAGTGGCTTACACTGAGTCACGAAACGTCAGAAAATCTAATTTTTCTACTCATTAGGATATTGCAAATATAAATAAAGACAGAACAAATATTGATGCAGAATAGTATGATTACATTATATTTCGTGGATTCTCATCAGCTGCTTACAACCAAATATGCATTAGAGTTTTAGCATTGGGGTAATAAATAGGATGTAATGACTGACATAAGTGAATTTAAAGGATTGGAATAACAAAAGGTCATCAATGATAACTATATATATATTTGCAAAGAAAGGTCATAGGTTATTAGGTATTAAAAGGGTGTTGTAATTGTTGAGTGGAGTTCAATGACAGGTAAGATCAAAATTGTAATTATTTTAGAAGTAATTAAAACAATTAGGGTGGGTTACATAATAATTAAATAATTTTTAGAGGTAGTTGAAAACAATTAGGTTGAGTTACGTAATAATTGAATAAAATTTGGAGAGTTCATATAATTAAGAGAGACAAATGAGCGGAAATGTGTGAGAAAAGGGGTGGTTTATGAATTGGGTAAAGAGTAATATAATAAAAACTGAATATTAATCAAAATTAAACTAACAACAACAAAAATGAAACAAACAAACAGATTACCAGGGTAGTAATAAGTTTATCACTGTCTCTTTTTGAGTATACAGATCCGGTTTAAATTTTTTTTAATGGCGATCGCTTCAGTAAACCGGAGAGCAGTTGTACTTCTTTGTTTGCTAACATTTGTTCTGTCTTTATTTAAATTCATATAGGGAACTAACTGCATGAAATTATTGCAAATATATTATTTTTATTTATAACAATCTACCCAATACTCAATTTATTCAAAATTATCAAATCAAAACTTGGTAATGATACCCATATTATTATTATTATTATTATTATTATTATGAACGTAAATAACAAAAAAATACAAAAATACAGACCCAAATAACTAAACAACTTACATGTAGCTATAAGTTCATGTAATTTCCCTTCTAAATTATCCGTTTTTAATACTGATTCAATTAGAGTTTGATTTTGTCCAGAAGATTTAATAATTAATTTTTGTATTCCTTTAATTATTTTAATTTCACAATCTATATTCTATTTTAAAAAAAGAAAAAAAAATTGCATTATGTGTATAAATTAATTTAATTTACTACTGAATTACCTTTTCAGTAGAATTTCCCGAATCAATTGGAGTTGCTCTAACATAAAAAATTAAAAAAAGAAGAAATTATAATGATAATGAGAATATGAGTTGAAAATGGTAAATATATATTTAAACAAATCTACAAGATAAGAATAATAATCTACTAGGGATTTATGTAACCTCGCTTGCAGCTTTTCTACAGTTTCCGCCGGTTTCAAGCCCGGGTAAAGATGGATGGTCGGGCATGGGGTTAGTTACCTCATCCCGTAGAAAACAAACTCGCTAAAAAAAACTAGGAACTTATATAACTTTTAAATATACTATTTTATAATATCAATCTGAAATTATTCAAATTATATTTGGAATGAATTTGATTTCAAACAGTTAGAAAGTTGTTGGATAATAATAAATAACAGTAAAGGTTTTAGTTCAGGTGAATGCTTGAGATTGAATTGTATTTTCTGAGTTGAAATGGTGAAAGTTATTGAAAGCTTGTATAACGACGTCAAAACTTTATAATTGGTTTTTAAAATGGAAATATATACAAAATATTGTAGTCCTGTCAATGGACTGGCTTAATAATAAGCTACTACGTGATGGCTGAAGAGCATTTTTTAGCGTGTAATCAAATTGGCGAGAGCTTGACAATAAAACATTGTAATCTGTATGCTCTAAGCAGAATTTAACTTTCAGTAGGGAAATCACAATCACTTGCGTTTTAATCCCTATTACAGAACTATAGTGACCCAACTAACTGTAATTTTGAACTCAGGGAATGCATTTTTCACTTTTTTTCATTTTGCATCACATTATTTGATTCATTATGAAATAGGATGCTAGTTCTATTCACCAGGTTTTTCTTTTCTTCGAACATATTTTCAGGCTTCATATACTGAATAGGCTAGCAGTGTTATTTGACTTCCCTATTTCTCAAGATATACTATATAAATCGCCCTCTTACGTCTTGAACACTACTGTTAGACGTAATCTTAGGTGTCTGCAACATTTATTCCTCCTACCATTGCTGTTACCTTAAAGTGGTGGTCGGGCTTGTCTATCGTGAAAAACCAATTGATCATCTGCTCTTCAACCTTTTATCATCTCAGGCCGATCACTTGAAGAGCGGTCAGACTAAAAAAATCCAAACTCAAGGTCCGAGGGTGAAGTCATACTGCCGACTGTACACATGTATGATGGCAGTAAGATCTTTCCCTCAGATACAAATACAAGTCGTTGCCTTTTCATCGATTCTGCCCACGTTCCCACTGACTGCAGCCCGGATGAATTGAAAGATGACTTTTACAGAAAGCTTTTTGTACTTTTTCAGAAAGCTAAACACTCAAACATAGTACTCGTAGGAGGTGACATTCATGCCCGAGTAGGTGGCTTAAACCAAACACCGGAGAGATAATGATGACCGTGTGCTGAAACTATGTTCAGACACCTGAACTAAGGATAGGGAGTGAAGTATTCGAAAGCATCGACAACTTCACTTATCTTAGAAGTCCGATCAGCCCTAATGGGTTGGTATCTGACGAAATCTCAGAACGGATTCAAAAAGCTCGTTTGCCTTTCGCCAACTTAAGTCACCTATGGCGAAGACGAGATATCCGTCTATTAGTTAAGGGACGAGTATACTGCACAGCAGTTCGCTCTATTCTGTATTACGGCTGTGAAACGTGGCCATTAAGAGTAGAATATACTCGTAACTTACTAGTATTTGACCACAGATGCCTTAGAAATATTGCTCGCATCTACTGGGATCTCCGAGTAAGTAATAGTAACGTTAAGGTCTAACTTCAATCAATCCACCGTCCATCACGAAACGGCCATCCAGTACTTCCAGGTTTTCCATGGTGGTTTATCTTAAGTTAACTTGTGATTTCAACTATAAAATTAATAAAATCTTCACAAAACCCCTCTTCTGATAATATATAATAAGAATCATTTTTATCTGTTCAATTAAAGTTTTTTTTTAAAAAAAAAACGAACGAAATAACTAAACAAGTTATAAGATTAAATTATTTCAATGAAAAATAAAGCTCAGCTCACTTTGATAAATCTACATTCAAAAAGATTAGTAAAATGAATAACAGAATCAACTTCATTTTGTTGTTGTTGTTGAGTTTCTGAGCTCTTTTCCAAAAAAATGTTTTTCCAGATTAAAATTACATTAAACCTTTTGAACTTATAATAAATCATTAGTGAACCCAACACAATCAGTTTCTTAATTGTATCCAATCAGAAAATGATTATGGTTAATAAAAGTGTATAGAATTTTAAAAAAAACACAAATAGGCGGATAGAAAAAAAATTCATGTCTTCATGATGTAACCGTTTTATTTTAACCACTATTATTATTATTATTGTTAAATACTGTCAGAATAGTACGAACCCCTATTACCAAACTGTATTTGCTAATACTGTAATGAACGAGAACACAAGTGGAGGCAATCGAATGTATTTGAATACAAAATTACAGAACATGTCATTGAAATCTAAGAAACAAACAGTAAATACTTCATTTGCAAAATGTCAATCAATTGTTTCAAACTTCATTGTTCTTTCGTTTCTACACTAATCATTCTTTGTTTTCGTTCTTTTTTCTTCGATCTTTTTAACCTTCTGTCTGTAGGTATTTCACTTTTGATTGATAATACATATTACTTATATCTGTCGACATCAGTAGCGCACACCATATGACTATTACTTACAGAAGCTACTAAATAAAATGAATCTGTGTTTTGGAATTAGATAAGTTTCATATACATTTATGGGATGACTTGGACTTGTTTTTTTATTTCAAAAAAGCTTTATGTCTATGATCACTATATAGAAAGATCGAAACTATGGTTCACTTATTTGTTGATCTGTGTAATTGTGATCGTGAACATACTATGTAGAAAATGAATCAAATCTGTTTTAATACTTATCTACTACGAAAGACAATCAAGATAGATCATTATTTTAAAGAATAATCGTTTGGATTTTATATCTAAGATAATAGATAATGATTTCAATGCTGACTTCTGTTCTATCTGTTTTCTTTACTGAACTTAATGAATTAAAGTAACACTTAAAGTCGAATAGTAAATAGTATTAAAGACACTCAATAAAACGAATCATCATAAAATAAAGCTGTTGTATTACAGTTAGTGTTTTGTCACAAGTATAGTTCTGATTATTTTGTTTTAATGAATTAAGATATGGATAGTGTTTTTCAAAGTCGAAATCATGAGTCAATTGAAGCTAGATCACCATGGAAAACCTGGAAGCACTGGACGGCTGTTTCGTCCTATTATGGGACTCCTCAGTAGTGCGCATCCACGATTCCGCACTCGCGAGATTTTAATTGAGTTCAAAAATAAACGACACTTAATTAAATTATGATTTCCTAGAAAATATAAATAAACAACCCACGATTGTTTTTGCATTTTATTTTAATTCTTAAGCGTTGTTTCTTGCTTGTAAACTTGCATACAACTAATCCAAAGAAATGTACGGTCATAGTTCACGAATATAATCTATCAGAAACTTGATTATATTTTGTACATAACAATCTGGTGAATAATATACATTTCTATATAAAGATTTTAAAAGTATTTTAAATATTTTAATGTTGAATAACAGCAATAAGTAGAATCTAGGATACATGTTTCATTCTAAAACTTTGCGACTAGAAAATGATATACAGGCAATCTGCTCAACATATACATATCCTAAGAGTAACTGGTCAGTTACAATACTTCATGGGCAAATATAAACCCTTACAAGTATTTGAAAGGCTACTTTTAAACGATTTCAATAAATTATAGAACAAATTTACTGTTCACTAGTGTTTGATGGGATTATTGAAGTAGAAACAATTCATTAAGTAGCCTGAATTGTTGATGCAGACGACTGTTCAAATACACTATTAAACTGATTAATTTCAAAATAACAACTTGTGAAGACTAGATATTTTGTACAACATGACTTTCCTAATGAATATCATATGAAATAAGTTGCACCTTTCAGATAGAAGTATGCAAAAAACTATAGTTGTTGAGGATACATCTTTCAATAGCATCTTATTAGTCACATATAGTACAATATTAGGTGAAGGAAAGAAAATAAATTCAATTGGAATTGTTTGCTTATATCTTCCCATTGTTGTTTAGGACTGCAATTGATCAGTCTCTTGTTGGGATTTGTACATTGTATGCGGACTGCCTCAATATTACCTTAAGTTTCAAGCTTTATAAGCGAATATGGATGGTGGCTAGCAGTGGAATCCATGACGTGCGTTTCGTTCTATTTGGGAATTTTCATCTGGATTTACCTGCATCCTAGAGTTGATGTTCACTCCATTTCATAAGCAGGGGGTTATCAGAACTCAGTAGCTAAGTGAATAACGCGATAACGTTTGAAGCGAACGGTACTGGGTTCAAGTTTCAGAGTGAACATCAACTCTGAGATGCAGATACATCCAGATGACAAGTACCAAATAGGACGAAACGTAATGTAATGTAATACTCAAAAGTCTTTGAATGAATCAACATGATATCTTATGAAAATTAAAGATACCACATGAACTCTTAATAATCCATTTGTTATAGTTTGTATTCCATCAGTTGTGTAAACCAACAATGCTAAATAAGGGCTTCAACAAAACTTAATAAATGTTTCAGCAGCCCCATTAATAAAATATAAAATTTAGTTTCTCAGAAATAGAAATCATTAGAATTTTCATTTTATACAGATTTGATCATTTCTGCTTATGTTACCTAATGGAATATTTTGTCAACAACTGAGTGACAGAAACAGAAGAATGAGTAAAAACTCGTTCCATTATACCGTTATTACAACTTGGAAGGTTGAAAGCTTAGAATTAATTACAAAGATTATGTTGTAAGCCGTTTTACGTTTTTAACATAGTCGATACAAAAGTGGTTTTCGAAATTCATACGAAAGTTCATTAGAATATGGATCAGATGATAATTCAATTAGAGCGCTAAATTTTATTTTAGATGAAAAATAAGTCCTCATCTTCATTCAATAGTTGCTTAGTGAACAAAAGCAGTAGTTATTATTTTATTCAGCTTAATTGGTTAAAAATAAAAAGTAGTCTTAGTAGCATTTTTCAACAAAACTCAAATTTATATAAAATACATGATTTAGTAATAAACATGAAAACAAATCAATCTTTAATCTCATGTACTGCAAAAACATAGGACTATGTTAATTATCAGTATAGGGTTGTGGAGATCGTTAAGTTTTTGATTGAGTTCATGAGTCGATTGGTGTTAGACAACCCTTGAAAACCTGGAAGCACTGAACAGTCGTTCCGTCATAGTATGGGACTCCTCAGCAGTGTGAATCTACGATCCCACCCGCAGGATTCAAACTCAGAACATTCGGTCCCTCGCGCGAACACCTAACCTCTAGACCACTGAACCGACTTCCATCGATCTATGAATGGCTGAGCAACCATTCATTCAGGTGGATACCTGTCTTCACTCTACACAGATTGGACTTCACTGGTCACAATTACTTACTAGAACTCCAGAAAATCATCTCAAACCAGTCACTAGTGAAAATATGATTATTATTATCAGTTTGGAGTTGTGGGGACTGAGATCATGAATTGATTGATATTAGACTACCATTGAAAATCATGACACGTGTCTTTTATACATGTCAATTAATTTTGTCTTAGCGGTGAAAAATTATCGGTTAGTTTATTTTTGAGAAATCCTGGAACTCAATCAATTACATGTTCCGTTTATAGCTATTACTTAACTGATCACCAAAATATATGTGATCGATCAAGAAAGTTAATCATTCGATTAAGTGCCTGACTGTTTACGTTCTGGCCGGATACTATCAGCAACAGCGTTCTATGGGAGAGGACAAACCAGCTTCCAGCTGAAGAGGAAATTAGGAAAAGACGTTGGAAGTGGATCGGACATACATTAAGGAAATCACCAATGTGCATCACGACTCAATCCCTAACTTGGAATCCGGAGGAGAAGCGGAAATGAGGAAGGCCAAAGAACACACTACGCCGGGAAATAGAAGCCGATATGAAAAGGCTGAATAGTAACTGGAAAGAACTGGAAAGGAAGGCTCAGGACAGAGTTGGATGGAGAATGCTGGTGAGCGGCCTATGCTCCTCGACGAGGGGTAACAGGCGTAAGTAAGTAAGTGTTTACGTTCTTCTATAAATAAAATTAATTATTTTCCTCATGAACTGTTGATCAGTAAGAGAATTGAAGTGTAAACGTGAAAGTTAATGCATTTAAAAGTTATTTTCCATGCTTTTTTGGAAATTCATGCTGGTTACATAATTCTGAAAAGTTCCAGAACAACAAATTTGGAAAAAACAACATTATAGAACTCTTATCTATAGTTCAGAAATCAACTCAACTTATAACCAATTATCATTCACATGTGTTCACTTATTTATTAATGTAACCACATGATGGCGTCTACTTGAATATTTGGGCTACCTGTTCCGGACATCAACGCATCTCAACAAGTTACCTGTATTTTGTTTGTTTTAACACATCATTATGTCTATTAGTCGCACAATCTATTCCAACACGTTTATGAAAAGTTTACGATCTTTCGTCGTATAACTTAAAAAAAGTACATTCAGAGACATTATGGTGGATGTCAATTTGCATTGAAAACAATGATCATTGTTCACATTTCGATTCCTGAACTGCTAACATCTAACTGATGGTAACTTAATATTTATCGTCAGGATAAATGAAGAAATAAGGAAAGGAATCTTGTTGAAATACTTTGTGCTGAGAATTTTATATTGTACGCAAAAATATCATATTAAATAAAGCCATTAATGATGATACTACTACTGTGGTGTTGTCAACTTATGTCCATAGGTATCATTACCAAGTTTTGATTTGATAATTTTGAATAAATTGAGCATTGGGTAGATTGTTATAAATAAATTATATATCTGTAATATCCCAATGAGTAGAAAAATTAGATTTTCTGACGTTTCGTGACTCAGTGTAAGCCACTTCTTCAGAGAATAAATAACCAAATTAATATTAATCCAAGTTTAAAACTTGGATTTAAACTTGGATTAATATTAATTTGGTTATTTATTCTCTGAAGAAGTGGCTTACACTGAGTCACGAAACGTCAGAAAATCTAATTTTTCTACTCATTGGGATATTACAAATATATAATTTATTTATACTTATGTCCATATAAGTAGTATATGGTGTGGGTCAAACATAGAATGTATTTTCGCAGAAGACCGATGACGAAAGAACTGAAACGAAGCGCAATCGGTGGGAAAATGCACGAACAATGGAATTAGAGAAGAAACAGTAAAGATCGAGACCATTGGTTGTTAATTTGCAAATTGACTGTACATTGTATGGTTTTCAGAATTTACTGAGATAGTCTGTAATCTTTGCTTAAATACATTCGATTGTCCCCAACCAGTGTTTTGTTCATTACACTACTACTACTAATAATGATAATAATACTAATTATCTTGGATTGAAATTCTAATTATTTGTTCTAGAAATTATGTTTTACAAATGCTATCAAGATTGTTTCTTCTTATTAAAGATTTTCAACATGATTAGACTATGTAAGTATTGTTAAACTCCATATATAATCTAGTATTTAGATGAATTAGATTACATGAACTCAATTACAATCTAAAACAGTTTGATAAAGTCATGATATTCTTCTCGAATAACCGTTTCTTTTTCTTTTCTTTTCTTTTTGATATTGATAAGAGGAAACTTTGTATAATAAATTACTGAGTTTAATGATGTTTTGATCTCAAATAGTTTCACATCTTTTTGAATGAAACTATAATACTATACAAATTTACTCCAACAATTTTCTCTATACTATACTTTAAACAAAGTAACATGTATTGCATTAAATAGGAATTATCCTTGAAAAAGCTTGGACCAGATTGCCAGGCGAAACTTTGGATTTACTACAAATTCATTCGCTGAGATTTTACAAATATATTATTCCTATTTAATGTCTTACATCAACTCGGCGCTCAAATACTGTGAAACAATTCGCTCTAATTTAGACGAGAGTTCTTATATGTAACATGTATTAGTTTAAATCTTAATAAGTTCAAAGTCTTTTGTACAAAAAAAACTTATGGTGATTGAAATCTATTATTTTATGGTTGAAAGTTTTGGTATTGAGAACAGTAAGATACCAGCAAAGAAGTTTAGTCGGATTATAGACCAGATATCTGATGGAACAAGTTCATATGTCTTGAGAATCAATAATTATACATACTGAATACCTCTGTGGCTCACATTTGTACTTATTACAACAGTAATTGATTAATGAATTAAACTATAAAATTACTGAAATCTTCACAAAACCCCTTCTGATTATAATCATATGCTTACTAGTAACTGACTTCAAGAGATATTTCCTGGGGTTCTAATGAGAAGCAGTGACCAGTGGAGTACAACGAGGTCTGTTGTGAGATATCAACTCACTGAAGACAATGGTGAACGGTTGCTGAACTTCGTGGATTGGTTGAAGTTAGACATTAGCATCTTTGGATGCCGGCTCAGTGGTTCTTGAGGTTAAGTGCTTGCACGCAAAACTGATAGGTCCTGGGTTCGAGTCTCGCGAGGTGGGGTCGTGAATGCGTACTACTGAGGAGTCCCACAATAGGAAGAAACGGCCGTCCAGTGCTTCCAGGTTTTTCATGGTGATCTAGCTTCAGTTGACTCATGATTTCAACTATAAAAGTAATTGACAAATCATCGTCATTAAACACTTTCCTTAAACATTAGTTACATCAAAGACAGACAAATATTCTACTGGTTGTTATGTAATTTAGTTCAATTATCTTTTAATAAATTTACGTTTTTCTACCAAATTTTAGCTTTTTCTTCAGAAAACTGTAGATGACTCATCGGAATGTGAAACAGCCACTTCTAGTTATATACTCGAATGTTTCAGAATAACACATTGTCCCCTAATTTTTAAGTAAATTTCTGTATTGTTGAGTATATGTTTTCCATAAGAAGATCATGATAACTTTTTCGAACTCATATACTTCATAACCTACAAATTGTATAAAAGAATTGACGAATTATGCTATTTCATTTGGCTTAATAATTCGTTTTATGTAGTGAATTAAGTTTTATATATTCATGAATTTACAGTTTCATTAAAAAAAACTTAATGTATTTTCATAGTTAAAATCATGAGTCAACTGAAGCCAGACCACCATAGAAAACCTGAAAACACTGGATAGCCGTTTCGTCCTATTGTGGGACTCTTCAGTAGTGCGCATCCACGATCCTGCTTCGCGAGATTCGAACCCAAACTGAATTTATTATTATTACTTTTTGGAAACCTCAAAATGGAACCAGCTAATGAGTTAACTCACTGGTTCTTTACGTATCTGTTTATCTAACTTCATGTTATTCTTAATAATGGACTCTGATTATGTGAAGGGGAAGTTAATTTAAATTATATTTTTAATAAACAATTTAACCGATGTAACATTAATGAGGTCATATTACAAACTAACAGACTATTAAATTTATTTATTAAATAATGTGACCCCAAAAAAAGTTTATATTATACTGACAATTCAGCACTCATAATGTAAACAAATTCTAAACTCACTTATAAACACGTATCAAATGATATAGAAAGATGATTTAATGTTGGATAGGTCTAAATAATGGGGTCATTGACACAATATACTATTCTCGAATTACTATATAATGTGATGTATGAATATGTGAATTTTTATAATTGAAATTGAAAATCTTCCAGTAAAATGAAAGTGACGCCAATTATCTTCGCTGTATTTTGTGTCGTAGGTGCTATGACATTGATCACGTAAGGAGTTTCTTTTTAAAGCCTATTTTGATAAATACAGTGTTGAATATTATTGTTAAGCATAAGCCGACATTTCAATCTTTCTTCATTTTATTAATTTATTGGCTTATTTAATAATTATATCGCAACATCATCTGTCATGAGTTAAAGATGTGTAATCGCTCACCAAGTTCTAACTATAAGTTATATGCAAATTAATTGTTGTACGCTAATCAATAGAGATCATCATATAAGTAGAACGTTTGTTTCGATATCCACACTATTGAACTTTGAAAGGCTTCAATGCAGCTTCACATTTAGATATGTTTTCTTATTTTGGCGAGATTTTAAATGTATATTGGGCAAATGACATTTTCTTTATCTAAATATAGTCATGTCTTGTCTCCTAGAATAAGCAGAATGATATTCTTTCATTTTCCCCCAAATATTTTACTCCTAACATCTACTGATTTTTAATTGTTCAGCTGCAGTCATTAGGCTGTTCTATATAAATATTTAACACTTCATAAAATGTAATTATAATTGGAATAAGTTCTTACGCAGATTTTAATATAGGTTGCCTCTATTTCAAATAAATTAAACTGGTGAGATTTCTGGTATTGAAGTGATTGAATGTAAAGGTTTGATTTAAATCTCCTGAGGTTCTGAATCTTCAGAGAAATGATTGACATGATACTAACATATTCGTTCACGACGTTATAATTAACTGATACGTAGTCAAAGGACATTCAGGTATAAACGTGAAACATTTCACATGATAACGGTAAAAAGTACAGAAATTTCATCTATTAGATTGGTCAGTTTTGTTAGAGAAGTACACCATACAGAATATTTGGGATAATTAACAATCATATACATTAGCAGTCCTACTGGAAGCTTGGTTTCTGAAAAGCATTCGTTTTTCAATGTAATTTATCTTTAGTGTTTCTTAAAACAACCCAGTAAGAAATTAATATGGATTTTCTCTTTCTGCAATAATCAACTGTTTTCTCTAATATCTTTTAGAGCTACAACGTTAGAGCAAGCACCTCACCCGAGTGAAAAAGACATGGAATTAGTGTATATTGATGCAGAATATGAAAAAGAAGGTGGACTGGTACTTATTCTAATTTCATTATATTTGATATCTATTATATCTTTAAAGAAATCAATATGCAACGAAATAAAACGATCATTCAGAAAAGGGCGCCACCACATATATAAAGTTATGGATAAATATATACGGAAGGAAGATTTAGGCATGAAAATGTTAGATGTTGCCAAAATCCGTAAGTTCACGTACACATTCATTTCCTCCCTTAGTTGGAAGACGCATTGAAAGACGTATGGAATACATAGCGAAGAAACTTGATAAGATGATGGAATATGAATCGTCTTAGGTATATTTCATAACACAATAGTTAATATTGTTGTGGATTTCAGACAATGCTTTTTTCTGCTTTTTGTTTACTACTTTCTTAATGAATTTGAGCAAATAATAAAGATTGATGAAAACTCTTTGTTTTGTGTTATGTACACTTGCGATAAAACACAGAGACTATTGATAAAGATAAGATTGAATACAAACTAGGAAATGCAGTACACCAGAATAATAAGCCTCACAAATTTTCATACTTCCCAGTCAGACACTTTCATGATGAACGAGGTTTGCAGAAGTATCAAATACGTAGAAAGATGTAGATTTTTTTACAACTATAATTTACATGCTCCTTTTATGGTTCATGAAATACAAGTGTGTCTCCGTATCAACTAGGGAGAAGTAAAAGAGCTTATAAACACTTAGAGACATGAAAATAATTGAAATGTGACATTTTTAAGTTAGTAAAGTTAACATCTTTGAGTTACACCAGATAAATTAGACCGAACCGCAACTGTCTAAAACATTTTGAAGAACAGAAATATTTGAGGCTTTTAGATTAGCGATACCGTAGCTTCGTAGATTTAATCCATGAGGTTTATGTGGTCGCGTATCAGCAAAGGAAATGATTTAAACCAAGTCAGATATATTTAGCATATTTATCCCTAGTCATGTAAACCAATCGGATCCAATAAGAAACTAACGGTTGTTTAAATAGCAAGAATGGTTTTGATCGAAAGTAAGGACCATAGCTAATTACTTAATTATTTGCCTATGCCTGTTACCCCTCGTGAAACAAAGATGGCAAACCAGGACTCTCTAATCAAGTCTGCCCTGGACTATACTTTCCAGTTGTTCCCAACTGTTTCTACATGCTATTTATTCTTTTGACATATGCCTCGAATTCCCAACACAATGTGTTCTTTGATCTACCTCTTCTATTTTTGCCTTTAGGATCCCATGTTAGCGCTTCCCTTGTGATGCAGTTTGATGATTTTCACAATATATGTTCTATCAACTTCCACCGCCTTTTCTTAATTTCCTCTTCAGCTGGAAGTTGGTTTGCGCTCTACCGTAGCAGGTCGTTCCTGATAATATCCAATCAACGGAAATTCAGTATCATGCTTGTCTAGTTATGTTTACTATTATTTACAACAAAAAAGTCCCGGTAAAGGCAGTTTTCTCAAATGCTCATAAATCTGTATTTCACTCTGAGATTATTTGTTTAACTTTTAAGACAAACTACAGTCTGTAATTAAATCAAGTCAGTGAGTCAGCGTTTGTATGTTTACGAGAAACAAAAGTAAAATACATATATACGGAATAAATTATGGGTTAATAAATAATTAGATGTCTGTTAGAATTCGATGAGTTGTTAAATGAAATTTCACAGCAAAATTTAAAATAAATAAATATTTATTGTATATAGTTGAAATCACGAGTCAATTGAAGCTGGACCGCCATGGAAAACCTGGGAGCACTGGGCGGCCGTTTCGTCCTATTGTGGGAATCCTCAGCCGGTTCGGTGGTCTAGATGTTAAGTGCTCACGCGCGAGACTTACAGGTCCTGGGTTCGAATCTCGCGCACTGCTGAGGAGTCACATAATAGAACGAAACGGCCGTCCAGTGTTTCCAGGTTTTCCATGGTGTTCTGGCTTCAATTGACTCATGCTTTCAACTATGCTACATACTAAATCTCCACAAAACCCCTTCAGAAATTAATATAATCATATGCTCACTAGTGACTTCTGGAAGTACATCCAGGAGCTTCAGTGAGAGGCAGTGATCAGTGGAGTGCAAACCACGTCTGTCGTGAGATAGGAACTCACTGATGACAATTGGTGAATGGTTGCTCAACTTCGTGGATCAGTTGAAGTTAGACATTAACACCATTGGATGCCAGCGAAGTGGTCTATCGGTTAAGGGCTCTGGCTGGAGACTGGTAGGTCCTGGGTTCGGATCTCGCGAGTACGGGTTCGTGGATGTGCACTGCTGAGGAGTCCTGAAACAGGACAAAACGTCCGTCCAGTGTCTCCAGGATTTCCATGGTGATCTAGCTTCAATTGGCTAATGATTTCAACTATAAAATTACTGAAATCTTCACAAAACCCCCTTCTGACAAATATTTATTGAATTACATGTTTTACAAAACATGAGAAATATGCAGTCAGTTGGGTGACACCATATATAAATGGGAATGAAATAGTGTGAATGGTAACCAAGACAACGTGGATAGAAATAATCTTTGTAATAAGAAGAATAACAGTAATAGCAAATCACAGTAATATAGGATAGTTTTTATAAACACGGCGGGGGAGTGGTGGAATTCATAAAAAAGGAAAACAACTAAATAAATTAAATAAAACCACAAACTATGATCATACTCAAGAAAAGAATTCTTCAACTTGTTCCTTCAATGACTATTTTCGTAAATTAATCATTAGACATGAGTATTTGATTTGTAAGGTCAACAATAAATTATGTGAATATAATTTTACAATTGAAGAGGTTTTAGAGAAATTCGATGAATATAATACAACACTAAATAACAGAAACTATTACTTAAAGTCTCATGAATCTTCTTGAATATTTCTTCAAAACCAAATAACTGAGTCAACAACGTACATGATGTTCTGGAATTTTTTATTGAATAATGGTAAAACTGGTTGGCATATAACTAGGAGAATCGAGGATAGGTGTGTAAATGTAAAAGCCGATAAACTAGACCACATATTGTATACAAATGGTGAAAATGTTCCAAACATGCTAGTGTTTTCATACTAACAAAACTGACTTTATAGGACATGGTTCAAGTGTTAAGCAGTATGATATTACGTGTAAAATTGAACCTAACTTCATATATGTTTACATAAGTTTATAAAACTCTTGATTCTAGTTCATTTGTATAATTCGTTTTTGCTAGTAAGTTTACCAAATGTTTTGCTATTTTCTCTGAGTAGTCCGATTTTCGTACTGAGCAGATGTGAGAATTACAGAGGTATCAGTTTACTGTCAGTGCCAGGGAAGGTTTTCAACAGAGTGTTGTTGGACCGGATGAAAGACTCAGTAGACGCCCAACTTCGAGATCAACAGGCTGGATTCTGGGAGGATCCGTCGTGCACAGACCAAATTGCGGCACATATGTATGTATAATATGTTTGAATACTTTGATTTTACAACTATTCTTAAAAATATTTTTTAAATAAATAATGGGAAGAATAATACTAGTGATGGAATCCACTCAAACTCATATGCCTTAAACTTATTGTTGAGTTTCTAATGTTAAGATTTCCGTTTCACCTTATTCAATGGAAAGCTTTTTCTATGGTGAATTGAAAATCATGTTTTAAAATTGTTACATCCGGACGAGAATAAATGAATGATAACCGTTAGGAATTAATTATGAACTAATATCATACGAATATTCTTATTGCAACTATATTCTATGTATACTCATATTCCTTTCATTATAAGGTTTTGTTTGACTTATTGGTTACTGTTATGTGATCTACTATTCTCAAGTTATTCTGAATCTATTAGTCACAGATTTTCACAATAACAACCACTTTTTGGCTTGAGCTTAAATGTTATTTTCTATTTTATGGTATTATGTGGTTAGGTTGGTTTGTATATAAACTAGGTATGTTTATAATAAATGATTCGATATAATGGAGGCTGATATTTGCGTTCTGGACTGAATTGACTAAGTTAGGCGGGAAGCTAATATCTCGAGGACCGATAAGAACGCAAGGCCTCTCGTAACAGTTTATGCGTCATTGGTCCAATCAATGCGTTGGCGACTCTAATTGGCAATGGTATTGCGTGATACATTCACAGGGCACAAGAGTCACAAGATATAACAAAAATATTTCACATCATTGAATTATTCTCAGTGTTTAGGATGTAATGACACCAAATTTGTTGTTCATTTCAAAAAGTGTGCCGTTATTTTATAATGTACTTTACCTTTAATGAATCCTTGTATATGAATTTTATATCAGGCGTTTGGAATAAAAATAAACTAACTCGAATACTGAAAAATTTGTCTAGTGGTGTTAAGCACAATTTCTACCCATAAAAATCCTGCCTTAAAACGATAGTTAAACCACTAATTCAACTTTTACTACATGACAATATTGATTTAAATCAGTATGCTTGCAAACATGCAAGAAGTACTTTTGAAGTTGTATTTGTTTTACATAACAATACTGTGTTTAGTTTATCAAAACGTGTTAGGTATGTTCAATATATTTCGATGAAGCTTAATTCCAACTTGATTGCGTTCCATGTTGTCTCCCGTATAACAAATTTTCAGTGAAAAAATGCTGCAAGACCCTGATAACAAACAGGTTACTTTGTAAGCTCTGTGTTAAATAGTTGAAAATTATGTCTAAAGAGGTGTTACCGCCTATTAAACCTCAAACGGTTAATAAAACTGCAGTCACTGTCTTTTTTTTACTTTTATTTTCTTCTGTTCATTGCATGACTTGTACTCTACTGAAATCACATTTGTTAAACATACTAGGGGAACAAATGTATATATCTCATTTTCTTCCAATTAGTTGTGGATGAATGAGCTCTTAGAAAGCACTATGCGGTAACATCCTTTGAATAGTCATGGCTTTAATGTATCTAAATAACAAAATATCAAATTTAACCTTGAACAGGGTAAATCACTGAACATCCTGATGGAGTCGTAGCTTCATACAGTTCATATATCCACTATAATAACTCTTGAATGCTATCTATTATCTATGATGAAAATGGAAGTTGTGAGATGTTCATAGTAATATTTAATGTTGGGAATTTCTCATTGTATCAAATATATGGCATGCAACATATTCATTATTATAATTATAATTATTAATACTTGTCACAGAAATCTACGGTGATCCAATAACTAAGCTTGCTAGTTACTAAATTCTAGCGGAAATTCATGACCGTTGTAGTCGTTTGAGTTGGTACTGAGATAGTGAATTATCAACATTATTGAATAAAATTACTGCCATTTCACAAATTGGCTGAAATTAAACCTGAGTATTGATGCATTTTGTCTAGCTGTTCAAAATACACTATACCTGATTTTGAAGGCTAAAATCTCGTGGTTCTAACCTTAGTTAATTATTTGATGTCCCCAGAATAAAAGTTATGAATTAAGAAGCTGTGTCAATTCAGTGTCCAAGGATCCATTAGCTGAAATTAGTTCGTGACGAAATGATTGCTCATGAAATTAGCAGACCATCTAGATTAACAATTCCTTAAAAATTATACTTATGTTAGGAATTTCTTATATGTTTCATTAAACCTTTGTTATGTATGGTCTTTTTAGAACCGTTTATTTTCATTAGTGAAAACTGTAAAATTGATGAAATCACTTTTTCATCATTATGATAATGAAGCCATCTGTTCTATTGTACTTACCTAGTGAACCGTTTTATGAAGGTAATAAATACTGATTTCCTCATAATCTCTTCATTTAATTATAAGAAGAGATATATGGTAGCTAGTAATGAAATGCAGGATGCATGTTTCGTCTTATTCAGAACTTGTCATCTGGATACAACTGCATCCCTGAGTTGATGTTCTCTCCGGGATTTACACTCAATGCCGTCCACTTCAAACGCCATCTCATTATCCACTTCGCTACTAAGTTCAAATAGCCAGAAACTAACACCTGTCTCTATGTATTAATTTAGGCACTGGAGAGCGATATAACGGACTAAAATATGTGTACTTAAGTTAATGAAAATCATTCAAACTACTTACAACAATTTATTGTACATTTTACAGGGATTTAGAGTATACTCAGTCGATGATTACCGATACTTCCGTCAAATTTTCCATGATTTAGTCAACTAATTAGTAAACTACTACAGATAACTGGATTCTAATCATTCAAACAGATGAGTTTGCAATATCATGTGAACAGTTAATGAATGTAAATGACTCAAAGAACTTAACGTATATATATATATATATCATCATCATCTTTGTTTAGTCAAGTGACGTGATTGCTGCACGTAATAACTGATTGCTCAACTCAACACTTTACATTCATGAATTCTAATTCACATAGGATAAAATTACAGTATCAACATCACTTCACTTTCATCTCTAGAGAAATCATACTGAACTACATTCTTAAACTCCCTTATTCAATTGTATAAATAAATAATGTCTAATGTTGCTGATTTGTCTTGTATATGCTTATTTCAGTCATTTATCTTATATAGATATAGTTAAGTAAGTAGTCAAGAGTCATCTTTGAGATAAAATAATATGAAAATAATCTTTAATGAAATTACATCAATAACAACAATAGATTTGCATGGTTCCAAATCCATGTCATTAATAAGAATATCTACCAATCAGTTCGTAAAGTTCAATGATTATTAGTAGTCATAACGACATATTTATAAGATCAGTAAACATTTATGTATTCTGTAATGCTTTCAGCTTTTCGAATATAAAGATATATATATATTCAGTTAATAAGACATTGGAGATTACACTTATGTTCCTATGATGTTTCATATGCTAGCATATCATCCAATTTCTGTGTTAGATATTCCATTCGTTTTTCTATACGCCTGCTAACTGATATAATGGATTAATTAATAATAGTTATTTGATATATGAACATAACTTACGGATTTTAGCAATTTCAAGTATTTTCTTGTCTAAATCATCCTTTCTGAAATAAGTATCGATTGTTTTGCACATTTTCATACGTCCAGTTTTAAAAGATTTCTTTAGAACCTTATATATTACTTTCTTAAATGTAACATTGTATTAATGATCATATATATATATATGTAGAAGAGATTAGTTACCATTCCACGTTCTGAGTCGACATTTTCATCTTCATCATCACTTTTCATTTTATTTTTATCCTTCTTTCTATTTTTTCTTTTTACTTTATCCTTTTTCCATACAAATTCATATTTTTCGTCACCCTTTTCTTTGGCTTTAATTTCATTCCGGTTTTTCTCTTCATTTTCATCCTCATGTTCATTTACTTTTTCATCCTTATCTTCTTCCTCGTTTTTTGATTGATCTACGTCTTCATCATTCTCTTCTTCAGTATGGTTAGCTTTACTAAAAACAAATACAACCATTCACACATATATTATTTTCAATCTTAAAGTAGTCAATGAAAATTCCTTGAATAATTCTACATTTAAAACTAATCTTCATTCAATATGTATTAATATTTGTTTTAAATACATAAGTAATTAGATAAATAAACACTAGTATTCAATAACTGAATACAAAATAAAGTTTCGATCATATACAGACTACTTAATTGCCAATGGATGAGTAAATAGTCATTAGAGAATTAGTACATTATCATTTATATGATTTTGACAGTAATTGTTTTTTTGAAAAATTCTAAAATTCTCTTCATTTATTGTTGTCAAACACAATATTGAACTGATTATAAACAAAGATGGATATCGGCCAGTAGTAAAATCCAGGACGCGCGTTTCGCCCTACATGGGACTCGTCAGCTAGATGTACCAGCATCTCAGAGTTGATATTCACTCTGTGACTCAAACTTAGTACCTTTCGCTTCAAACGCTATCGCGTTATCCACTTAGCTACTGTGTCCTGGTAGCCACTTGCTTGTGCAATCGGGTGAAGTTTAAATTCACTTGGTATTGCTTGTTTGAATTTTCCCATTGACTTTTAGGACTGCAATTGATCAGTCTCTTATTGATTGATCAATTACAGTCCTAAAAATCAATGGGAAGATTCAAACAAGCAATACCAAGTGAGTTGAACTAATTGTTTATTATCCACTTACTTTCTTTTAAATCAACCATACTCTGATAATGAATACTATGAACAAAATATTTTAAGTAAGACATAGTTATGAGTAAACATTTTAAAAGAAAATAAATAGATTTCAATGAATTAAACTGAATATAAACAGTAAAACAGAATAATAGAATAGACAATTGATGATTACATCAATGGGAAGGTTCAAACAAATAATACCAAGTGAATTTAAACTTAACTTCATTGCACAAGCAAGTGGCTAACAGAACTTAGGAGCTAAGTGGATAACGCAATGGCGTTTGGAGAGAACGGTACTAGGTTCGAGTCCCATTGTGAACATCAACTCTGAGATGAAGGTACATCCAGATAACGAATCCCGAATAGGATGAAACACACGTCCTGAATTCCACTGCTAGCCATTATCCATCTTTGCTTATAATTGATGGTTACTGTTTACTAAGTCAAGTAATATAAATTATGTAAGTATTGCTTTCATTAAAAAAATTGCTGAAAGTTCATATAAGTATTGTATATTCTTTCTGATTCTCAACATAATAAAGAATATTTTAGAATTCAGCTTTGTTATAATAAGATATTTTACTGAAATCTCTAACAATATATCAAAGAAGTCAGATATAAATTGTGCTATCAGTGAAAATTAAATCAATATTAAGGTTGAATTTGATTGTTCTAAATAAATTGTGCCTCGATTAAGGAGTTATTAGTATATACATTTATTCGTTCTCAACTAGTGAGTAGAAAAATTGTATTTCTATCGTTTTGTGACTTAATTAAGCTACTTCTTCTGAGTAAATAAATAACCGACATGTCGGTTATTATTGTCTTTTACTACATTATTAATACTAAAATGAAAACTATCAACTCACTTTATGAATGTTGAATAGGTCAATAAAACAAAAACCACGAACACTAACATAATAAACTTCATCTTAGCTAGAGAAAGAATAAGATTGTAGTATGGCTTAAATATCATTGAAACGTTGCATTATATAGTGGCTATAAAATCATTTTGTCCTTTTTTATCATTCATACCATCAATTCATCCCCCTTTGTTTTAAAAAAAAAACTTTATTTATAAGTACTTGTCCACAAATAATCATAAGTTTAGTACATTTATCTGTAGTTATGGAATAGTTGTGTAATTCTAAATTATTATCATTTGAAGATATGACCTTATCATGGCATCCGAACTATTTGATTGTTTACATTTCATCATTTGTTTAAACTAATGTGTTAATTTCATTAATGAATGTGTTTAAACCAATGTAGGCTTTTATGTGCTAAAGGACATAAAAAAGAATATCAACATATATTGATGCAATTTCGAATATTATGGGAAAATATGGGAAAAAATATTCTTAACTTATTAAATATAGAGATTTATATTCATAGTGATATTATAAGTGGGATAGAAATTCATCAACCGTCACTTCAAACTTATGAACGTCATCAACTCCAGGGTTAACTTGTCACTGTCACTAGATATCACACAATTACAACGTTAATACATTCATTATATCGAGTATTTCAAAATATGAATTAATTGATGATGAGTTGAAACACCGATGGCAGTATATTTAAGCAACTAATGATACAAAAACAAAATGAGTACTCTGATTTCTCGTATTCACTATCACCAAATGCCTTCAATGTTCTATGTTTAAATTTTCAGAAATTCAATGGAATACAACTGCTTCCTTTGGTCCTATATCTCAAATTCACATTGATTTAACAGTTGGTCCTTATGAAATATCTAAAACGAGACGAAGAGAGAGTATATTTCACGCAGAGTAGACATTAACATGATATGTGAGCAGAAAACTGAGTTCAGTGAATGTTTAGATTCTGAATAGATTTTACGGTCCAACGAACCAGTTAAAGCCGCCTTTTACTCATGAATCTACATACTCAAAATTGTTACTTTGTTCATTGCACAATGGAAACTTCAGTAGGAGTAATCAATTAAATGTATATATGGTCTCCTAAAGTATGAAAATTGTACTCTCATAAGATCGAAGTACCAACAGACATGAATTCAAAAATATTGGTTGTTCGGATCTTCCCATTAATGTTTGTGACTTCAATTGAACAGTTTGTTTAGTCATATATGGACGTGTGGGAATTGTCTCGATATTTCTAGTAGGCCATAATCATTTTAGGGAGAGATGGATTATGGTGATCTGTGGAATCCAGTACGCGCGTTTCTTTCTATTTGGGACGCATCAGCTGGATGTACCTGCATTTCAGATTCCCTAATGCGATTAAGATTCCCTAACGCATCCTGGATTCCATCACCAGCTATAATCCATTTATATCGTCAAACAGTTATTGTAGTGTTAACACGGTTAATGTAATTTCACATATTCCTTACCTTATTATCACATAGCTAACCAATTTATCGTATCATAGTAGTTGGATACCGAGTGATTATATAACATGAAAGCGGATAATTTCATTTCTTTTAAATTTCAACGATTGAAACTTAACTAAATTCAACGTTTCGTACAGCATTGTGGTCCAGGTTTTTCCAAAGGAATTTTATTTTAACAAATGTTAAAAATCCATTTAGAAAATCGCTAGAGAAATATTGTATTTCGATCTCGATTTGATTAGCAACCAGATCTTAAATAGTCATTTCAAAAAACTAAGACATTTGAACATAACAACTATTTCAGTGTAAACGTGTATTCATTCATTTAAATTAAGATTATTTTAAATATAACAGGAAAATAAACATTTAGTGCTTAGGCGCAATAAGCTCATAACTAAAAAGCTCTTTTATGATAGAAAATATATGTCCCACAGTGAACATCAACTCTGAGATGCGGGTACATCTAGCTGACGAGTCCCAAATAGAACGAAACGCGCGTCTGGATTCCACTGCTAGCCACTATCCATCTTTGCTTATATATGTATAACACCAGTTTGTATATTTTTAAAAACGTTTTCTGAATACCTTGAAGAAAACGTATAAAGATATTATCATTGTTCATATACTCTAGTTTATTTCAGTTTAATTGTCCAACATTACTGATACATTATTGGAAGAGTCTGGTTTATCCTCTTGTTAGTATTGAGGAATGAATTTTGATCAATCTTGGTTGGGATATATGTATCCTGTGAGGATTACCGGGAAATGAGAAATATGTCATAAGTTATTTAGAACAGATGGATTATGAATAGAAGTGGAATGCATGATGGATATTTCGTCCTATTTGGGACTTGTTAGCTGGACCTGCCATCTTCCTAGTGTAATATTCATATCAAGACTATAACTAATTGCTTTACGTTCAAAAAACTCTCAACACGTTATCAACCAAATTACTGGACCCAGATAACCATTAACTTCTTCGGCATGTGCAATATTTATATCACTAGTAGTAGGTATATGAATCATCCCAATGTCAACAACGCCTGATCAAAACTCAGTCCAGGAAGAAAGCATTTTGATTATACTTGTGCTGTTTTTTCGAGAAACTGGAAATCAATAAGTGAATAGAAAATAATGACGAATTTTCATTAACGATCGCCCTGTCGTTACGACATATCTCTGGATAACAGAGCACAACAAATGGCGTACAGCAGATCGTATGTATGTAGAAATAGATTTCTGATAGTTACCCTTAAATCAGGAAGATTACAGAACAGTTACCAATCAGTCCACTCTTTTGAAATTTGAAATGAGATTAACTAAACACCTTATTTTAATATACTTGAAACTGATGATGTCGAATCTATACGAAATAATGATAAAATGGATGATGTTAAGTTAAATAAGTTAATTTCCATTATTTTAGTTTACTTGAAAATAAATTGATTCTTATTGCTTGTAGAATGACGCTACAAAGTACTAAGTTGTTGCTTACATTAACCCTGAAAAGCGTCTCACACTAAATCATGAAACGTCAGAGATTTTATTTTCTAACCTTTTGAGATATTATGAACATATCATAATATTTAACAATAACAATCTATCCACTGCTCAATTCATGCGAAATTATAACATCAAACCATGATAATATACTGTTCAAGTCAGTTGATGAACTTGGGTCCATGAATTCTTACCAGTTAATAAATTCGAAATTGATATGTTATTCAAATATTAAGTCAATTACTTTGACTCAACTAATTAGCAGAACGTATTATAGATTGTATAAATGAATGACCGAAACTAAATTATTATCATAAATTTTCAAGTACTTACTTACTTACTTACGCCTGTTACTCCCAATGGAGCATAGGCCGCCGACCACCTTTCTCCAACCCACTTTTTTCTGGGCTTCCTTTTCTAGTTCTATCCAGTTCTTGTTCATTCTTCTCATGTCTGTCTCTATTTCTCGGCGTAATGTGTTCTTTGGTCTTCCTCTTCTCCTTCGACCTTCAGGATTCCATGTGAGGGCTTGTCTTGTGACGCAATTAGGTGATTTCCTCAAGGTGTGCCCAATCCACTTCCAGCGCTTTCTCCTGATTTCTTCCTCCGCTGGAATCTGGTTTGTTGTCTCCCACAGTAACTTATTGCTGATAGTGTCTGGCCATCGGATCCGAAGTATTTTGCGTAGACAGCTGTTGATGAACACTTGTATCTTCTGGATAATGGCTAGAAGTGCAGATGTCAGGTCACCTAAACGAAACTGAAGTGAACAGGTCGGATCGACATGTCTACGAAACGACGAATTGAATAAACCACAGTGTTGCTCTTCATAACATTATCCATCCAATGTGTGTTAAGTCCACATGACTTGTGAAATGGAACTCTCAATGGCAACTGTGAATCTCGAAACACACTGCGAACATAAGCCAGAAGAGTTATTTCTCCGATTGTATAATGCAGCAGTAACACTTGTGTGGTTGCATTTCACAAGCAACTCTCTATCACACTTACTTACTTACTTACTTACGCCTGTTACTCCCGATGGAGCATAGGCCGCCGACCACCTTTCTCCAACCCACTTTTTTCTGGGCTTCCTTTTCTAGTTCTATCCAGTTCTTGTTCATTCTTCTCATGTCTGTCTCTATTTCTCGGCGTAATGTGTTCTTTGGTCTTCCTCTTCTCCTTCGACCTTCAGGATTCCATGTGAGGGCTTGTCTTGTGACGCAATTAGGTGATTTCCTCAAGGTGTGCCCAATCCACTTCCAGCGCTTTCTCCTGATTTCTTCCTCCGCTGGAATCTGGTTTGTTGTCTACCACAGTAACTTATTGCTGATAGTGTCTGGCCATCGGATCCGAAGTATTTTGCGTAGACAGCTGTTGATGAACACTTGTATCTTCTGGATAATGGCTAGAAGTGCAGATGTCAGGTCACCTAAACGAAACTGAAGTGAACAGGTCGGATCGACATGTCTACGAAACGACGAATTGAATAAACCACAGTGTTGCTCTTCATAACATTATCCATCCAATGTGTGTTAAGTCCACATGACTTGTGAAATGGAACTCTCAATGGCAACTGTGAATCTCGAAACACACTGCGAACATAAGCCAGAAGAGTTATTTCTCCGATTGTATAATGCAGCAGTAACACTTGTGTGGTTGCATTTCACAAGCAACTCTCTATCACACTTACTTACTTACTTACTTACGCCTGTTACTCCCGATGGAGCATAGGCCGCCGACCACCTTTCTCCAACCCACTTTTTTCTGGGCTTCCTTTTCTAGTTCTATCCAGTTCTTGTTCATTCTTCTCATGTCTGTCTCTATTTCTCGGCGTAATGTGTTCTTTGGTCTTCCTCTTCTCCTTCGACCTTCAGGATTCCATGTGAGGGCTTGTCTTGTGACGCAATTAGGTGATTTCCTCAAGGTGTGCCCAATCCACTTCCAGCGCTTTCTCCTGATTTCTTCCTCCGCTGGAATCTGGTTTGTTGTCTACCACAGTAACTTATTGCTGATAGTGTCTGGCCATCTGATCCGAAGTATTTTGCGTAGACAGCTGTTGATGAACACTTGTATCTTCTGGATAATGGCTAGAAGTGCAGATGTCAGGTCACCTAAACGAAACTGAAGTGAACAGGTCGGATCGACAT